CCTGGCATTTATAGGAAGCCTGATGTTTTGGCCACAGTACTAAATGTTCTTAACCTAAAAGCAGCAAGGAGGACATCTCCTTCTTTACTGGTTTCTTGGTTCCTGGATTTGCTGTTTTTAAAGCAAGAAGGGAGTAACTGCCCTGAATCCACAGTCTGAAGGGCTGTTGGAAAAATAGGTCTCCTTTATTTATTTGAATGAAAGAGAGATATGACTTGGTTTGCTGGTACACAATTTTAGTTGTGATTATACTTGTTGACACCAATGGAAAAAAAATGGTTTACTCATATTTCTAGGATGATGATGATGATGATGATGATGATGATGTGTGTGTGTGCATGCGCACACCTGGGTATGTTTTCAGATCATACATTTTTGGAATACTAGTTGTAAAGATGATTTCTGAACATTGCACTAGTCTTACAGCATTTTCTTACTTTTATTTTTTTATATATTTTATTGATTCCCTACAGACAGGAAGGGAGAGGGATAGAAAGTTATAAACATCAATGAGAGAAACATCGATCAGCTGCCTCCTGCACACTCCCTACTGGGGATGTGCCCGCAACCAAGGTACATGCCCTTGACCCGATTCAAGCCTGGGACCCTTGAGTCCGCAGGCCGATGCTCTATCCACTGAGCCAAACCGGTTAGGGCCAGCATTTTCTTACTGTTAAAGATCTATCTATATATACAAAAGCCTAAGCGACCGTTACAACTGAAGGACTAGAATGACCGGTCGACCATTCACTATGATGCACACTGACTACCAGGGGGCAGACACTCGATGCAGGAGCTGACCCCTGGTGGTCAGTGTGAGCCCATAGCCAACCTCCCATGGCCAGCCAATCTCCCCCAGTCCCTTTCCTCTGCTGGCAAACTTCCCACGGTCCCTCCCCCCGATCTGGCAGGCCTGGGCCAGCCCCCCCCCCCCCAAAAGGGACTGGGTGAGACGGCCCCAATAGGCCCTGATTGCTGGCCAGGCCTAGGGACCCCACTGATGCCCCATGCCCCATGCACGAATTTCATGCACCAAGCCTCTAGTATTATATTAAAACCTCTGGAAAGTCCCAAAGTAGAGAGACATTTGAACTTGGCTTGACCCAGAATTTCCCCCAATTTGACCATGAAGTCTTTTTTTTTTTTTTTTTTTCAGTTAATGATTAATGACAATGATATGTCAATTCTGTAAACATAGTTAGGTAATGCTGAATTAATAATTTTCCTGAAGGATTGGGATCACTACAATAAAAAGCCTAATGTACAGAGGTATACAGAGGAATATTACATGGTAGCCTGATGTATTTCAAAGTTTCTACTGGCTTCTTTAAGATTAGCTTAGTTAATTCCACTTCTCTCAGCCTTGATCTACTGAAACACTAGTAAGCCACCCAACTCTGTAAAATTATTTCTATGCAAGTAGCTGTCAATAAAGGGGCTTACTTAAGGTTGTGTTTTTTTGTTTTGTTTTGTTTTTGAACTTAACTGAATGTTTCTTTTCCTGAAATAAGTTGCTAAACCAATTCTACTAGGTGAATCAATAGAGTTACTGCCTGTTTATTCTACCATCTTCTACCATTTGATACTTAGTGAAATTGGAACCAAAAATGTATAGTTAACCCCCCTACCCCTACTTAGGAACATATGCTCATGCCAGAAAAACCAGACAAAACAAACAAACAAAAAAACCTGCCTGAGTCCTAGCTGGTTTGGTTCAGTGAATAGAGCATTTGACTGTACTCTGAAGGGTCCCAGGTTCGATCCAGTCCAAAGCACATGCCTGGATTGCAGGCTCAATCCTCAGTAGGGGGTGTGCAGGAGACAGCCGATCAATGATTCTTGCTCATCATTGATGTTTCTATCTCTCTCTCCCTCTCCATTCCTCTCCAAAATCAATAAAAATATTTTTTAAAAAAATCTGCCCAGCTGGTGTGGCTCAGTGGTTGAATGTCGAATCATGAACCAAGAAGTCACTGATTCGATTCCCAGTCAGGACACATGCCTGGGTTGTGGGCTCCGTCCTCAGTATAGAGTGTGCAGGAGGCAGCCAATGGATGATGTTTCTCTCTCACTGATGTTTCTATATTTCTATCCCTCTCCATTCCTCTCTTTCTCTAAAAATCAATAAAAACATATTTTAAAAAATAAGAAAATGTTCCTTTGATATCTGAGGATTCCAACCCTTGGTGTTATTTGCAAATGTCAACAAGCAATATTTAACATGACAAATCCTTCTGATGCCTTAGGTTACTCAGTGAATAGAAATTTGGGGCTATTTTGATTAAAACTAAGTGAGAAAGTTCTGAATTTATTTAATCTTTGCCTGATAGAGGAAAGAACAGGGTTATTAACTTACTTCTGTAAAAAAAATACAAAAAAAAACACCCCACTTTATTTGATTAATGTTTTAGAGCTAAATATAAAGTAGGCCAGATATGCTGGAAAATTAAGCACTTATTTTAGATTATTACCAGAATATTCTGCCAGGAAATTTATTAACTTATAAGAGACTTCTGATCCCCCCTTTTCCCCACCTCCCCCTGCCTTTTTGTATAACTAATTTTTTAAAAACATAACCATGACTTTATGAAACAACACACAAACACCAAAGAACTGGTCTACTTGGATAAGGCTGTAATCTTGATTAAGGACACAATGTAAATAACTTTATTGTGCTTGAAATGAAAACCACAGATATCTTTTCGAGGTTACGCTGCACACATGTAGCTTTCTGACTTACTTCACAGAGCACGTGACACAGCAGTGATTTAGAGCAGGCTGGATTAAATCAAATGGCACAGACTGGTGTCATGTAGAAAATAAAAATTCCCCTTCTACCTCCTTATTTGTCATTTCAGGTAAAAAGTCTTGTTTGGAGAGGATAACTATTTTCTTTAAAAATATTTTATTTAAATTCTTTTTTTTTTAGTGTAGAAATATTTTAGCACACAAAAGTAGAGAGGATCATATAATGAGCTTCCATATACTAATCAATTGACTTAACAATTATCAACATTTTGCTGATCTTTTTATTTCTCTTTGTTCTTTCTCTTTTCTATTGAGTATTTCAAAGCAAATCCCAGACATCATGTCATTGCTCAGCATGCATCTCTAACTGATGTCTTTATATTGCATAATAAGCATGCCATTACTCAAATTCCTTACTATCATGTAATACTGAGTCCACATAAATATCCTCTGTTACCTCCCAATTTTTACCCTGACCTAGATCTAGAGTCCCAGGGGTCCTCAAACTACGGCCCATGGGCCACATACAAATACAAATATTGTATTTGTTCCCGTTTTGTTTTTTTACTTCAAAATAAGATATGTGCAGTGTGCATAGGAATTTGTTCATAGTTTTTTTTCAAACTATAGTCAGGCCTTCCAATGGTCTGAGGGACAGTGAACTGGCCCCCTGTTTAAAAAGTTTGAGGACCCCTGATCTAGACCATCTCTAGCCTTTAGAACTCTCACTTCTGGGACTGAGTAGATCAATAAACAGCACAAGTGGAGATCATCTTTGCTCTTTTTTTTTCAGTCTGAGGTATCAACTTAAATCCAGCATTTCCAATTTTCTCTAATTCTGAGTTTTGCTGCCACTATTTAGGGCAGTGTTTTAATATCCAAGAAGTCAGAGCAAAGCCAAGCTATTTGAGTAGCAAGTCAGAGATTAAATTCTAGAATTTATTCTGCTTAGAGTCTCCTTCCCTAGCCCTTTGGGAGACACATGAGCAGGAAGTGGACAGAGCTATTGGTTAAAAATCAGGATTTTCTTATGGAAAGTTAAATGTTTCCATTAAGAGGACATGTTTGTTTACATTTTCAAGTAATCTGTTGTAGCATTAGTTGTAGTAGGTCACCAGTTCATACCTTCAATAAACTTGTATTTTATGCCAATTGTGTGCAAGGCACTGTGTTAATAAGGAAAATACACGATATAAAGCAAGAAGCATTGTACAGAAAATAACGTACAGTGGGAATTCAGAAGCAAACTATTTTTTATTTGGGTTGGTGACAGACGAAAAAGAGCGTTTTGGATGGAGGAAAGAGAGCAAGCAAAGGTACAAAGGTGAAAAATACAAAACATGGTGAGCAATGGGGAGGTCAGCCTGGTGAATATGACATTCTTCAGGTCAAACATCATGCATATCATGACTAGCTGTGCAGGTAGGTGTAGATATTACGTAATCACCCAGTAAGCAGAGATTCCAGTAACTGCTATCAGCCACTGCTGCCAGGAACTACTGATCGGGCAGCATGTTTATAATATCAAGACGATGATTGTTAATATGTGACCAACCAAGAAGACTGATCCTTGGTGGAGGCATCTAATACAATGTGATATAATCATTAATCCAATTGGATAATATTTTACCTTCAAATTCAACCTAATGGTTGGGTAAATAGGCAAACAGACACTGTTCGTTTGAGAAGAATTTTTTTGCAAATGAAATAAGATTTATAATACAAGTTCTTCAATGAAGCTTCTTTTTGTTAAGGAGCTGGGTTTTACCTAGATCTTTCATATGGCAACCTTATATGATTTTTTGTTTTCTTTTCAAAGGCAAACACTAAAACTATGCCATTAACATAGAAATATCAAAATTTCCTTGAGCCCAACCCAAGTTTACAACTGTGTTACCTTTCAGCCAAAGGATGCATTTAATGTTGCTGATGTGGGTTTGCTTTGTTGCCTTCAGCACCAAACTAAAAAGTCTTGGGTATAAGAATGACTTCATATCAGGCTAGCTCACTGTCCTAGTCTAGGCCATGTGCTTTATGGGACCTAAGAAAAAAACCTGTTCTCTTATTCCTCAACATTAGCTAGAAATGCATTTTCAGCTAACATTTGTTGTGTGTTTATTATGTACATGGCACTGTGTCAGGTGTGTCTCATAAGCATTATTTGACTTAATCTTCATAACAACTCTATGACAAAGGTTATTATAATTTTCTCCTTTTCAGAGATGAGGAAACTGGGGCTTAGAGAAGATTAGTAACTTGCACCAAGTCATGTAGCTAATAAGCGGAAGGGCTGGTTTTTGAGCCCTGCTGATCTATTCGGGTGAGGCCATAGGCACCTGAGCAGGGATGGAGGCCTGTGAGTTACTATGGAAAGTGGGTAAGAACAGCCCATTGCTTCCTTCTGCCCCTCTGTCTCTTCAATTCCCACTCTACTCTTCCTCCTGATTCTTTACTTCTTACATTTTTTTTTTTACCTCAACTCCTCTATCTCCTTGTTTCTTTTGTACAATTTGTTTCATTTATATATTCATTTATTTCCTTGTTCAGTCATTGATTTACTTCTAGTGTGCTAGGCCTTGTTAGGAAATTATAAGGCAAGCTATCATGTGAATGAATGAATATAGCACACAAAAAATGATGGGTTGCTTTTGAGAGCACAAATATGAAAAAACTAAAAGTCTGAGGTCTGGGAAATGATGCTTTAGTTGTGCCTTGAAGGAAGAGGAATGGGGAGGATGAAGTAGGAAGAGTTTTCCCAGGGAGACACACTAGCATTTATATAGTCACCACACTGGGGCAACAGTCAGCACAGCTGAGACCTGATGGTCATTGGGGATGGCTGGAATGAATTCAGAGGGCTTCCTGGGAGTGTTGAGAGATGAAGCTAGAGAGATAGGCAAGGGCCAGACCATGAAGCGCTGTGTACCACATTAAAGAGTTTGAATGTCAGCCTGAAAGTTACATGGAAATCACTGAAAGGTTTTAAGTTAGGGCAGTGGTCGGCAAACTGTGGCTCATGAGCCACATGTGGCTGTTTGGCCCCTTGAGTGTGGCTCTTTCACAAAATACTGACTTCTGCACGTGGGCAACGAAGTTTCAATCGCACTGTACATGTGTGCCTGCACATGGTATTTTGTGGAAGAGCCACACTCAAGGGGCCAAAGAGCTGCATGTGGCTTGCGAGCCGCAGTTTGCCGACCACTGATTAGGGAAATGCATGATTTTGCATTTTAAAATACCATTCTGGCTGTAATCATCACTTGTATAGCTAATTTCTCTGTTTGGAAAAGGAGGCCCTACATTTGCACTGAGATTATACACTACCTTGAGAGATTTCAAATCCCTTAATCACTCTGTGATTTTCCTGATAAAAAATTCTGAGTCTTCCATCTTATTATGTTCTGATCTCAGAAGTCCAGGGTGCAAGGCAGTCTTTGTAAGTTGGTCCTTACATATGCAACCACCATAGTCTGCTTGCTAAGCATAAGATGCTCAAGTTTCCCATGAACATTCAGATCCCACTTTCTCTCATAACTCTCCTCACTCGCACTATCACATCTCTCTAGGTTCTGAGCTACTGAATTATCATCATCATTTTTCAGGTGTTTTTCCCCTCTGCTGTTACAGCACCTGAAGTCTGAGGGAGTTCAGGTGAATTGCTCTGCAAAAGACAAATCCACTGAGTCAAGTAGAAGGTGTGCTGTTGGGGCAGGACCAGCAGATGGCATTAAATAAACTTTATCCAACAATTTGATTATCTTTAACCAAGATGCAAATGTAATTTCTAGTATATAGTACATACAGGCGTTTTAAACTATCATCATCATTATAATACTCTATTTTAAGCTAATAACTTAACTTTGAATGCATATAAAAGTTCTACATTTTATACTTCCCTCCCCACATTTTATGTTTTTAGTGTCATGATTTACATATTTTATATTGTGTATTCACTAACAAATTATTGTGGTCATAGTTATTTTTAATACTTTTTTGTCTTTTAACTTTTACACTATGGTTATAAGTGATTGGAGTGACTCCATTACAATGTTGAAGTATTTTGAATTTAACTGTATATTTACCTTTACCATAGGAGTTTTATACTTTCATGTTTTTTGTTGTTGTTGTTAATCCTCACCTGTGTATATTTTTCCACTGATTTTTTAGAGAACGTGGTAAGGAGGGGGAGAGACAGAGAGAAACATTGATGTGTAAGAGACACAATGACCGGTTGCCTCCAGCACAAGCCCTGACCAGGGCCAGGGATTGAGCCTGCAACCAAGGTACTTCCCCTTGACCAGAATCGAACCTGGGACCCTTCAGGAAACAGGCTGACACTCTATCCACTGAGCCAAACCCACCAGGGAATATCCTTTAATATGTTTCATGTTACTAATTGGCATTAATTCTTTTCAGCTTGAAGAAATCCCCTTAACATTTCTTATAAGGCCAATCTAGTGGTGTTGAATTCCTTAAGCTTTTACTTGTTTGAAAAATTCTTTATCTCTCTTGCAATTCTGAATGATAACTTTGTCAGGTAGAGTATTTTTGGTTGGTAGTTTTTTTTATTTCAGCAGTTTGGATATATCATGCCACCCCCTTGTGGACTGCAAACTTTCTCCTGAAAAATCTGCTGATTGGTTTATGGCAAGCATGTCAAACTCAAAGGCTAACATGGGCCAAATAAATGAGGCATGTGGCCTGTGAGCTGCAAGTTTGGCATGCTTGGGTTCCCTTGTACTTAACAAGTGGTTTTTCTCTTACTGCTTTTAAGATTTTATTGTTTTACTTTTAACTTTTGAAAATTTCCATATAATGTGTCTCAGTATGGGTCTCTTTAGATTTATATTTTTTGAGCTTTCTGGACCTGGATGCTTAGTCTTTTCCTCAGGATAGAAAATTTTTCGACCATTTTTTTCTTTGCATAAGCCGTCTTCCCTTTCTCTCTCCTTCCCCCCGCCCCCCCCCCCCCACCTTTGGTTGATGTTGTCCCATGAGTCTCTTAAGCTACAGTCATTCTTTTTCATTCTTTCTTCTTTTTTGAATTTATGACTAGCTGGATTCCACTGTCTTGTTTTTAAATTCATTGATCTTTTCTCCTACCAATCTGGTCTGCCCTTAAACCCTTCTACTGAGTTTTTCAGTTAAGTTATTATATTCTTCAACTCTATGATTTCTCTTTGGTACATTTTTAAATGTTCTATCTCCTTGTCAAATTTTTACTATGTTCATGCATGTTTTTTTGACCTTGATGAGCATCTTCATAACCATTTTTTAAAAAATTCCTTATCAGGTAAATAACTTACCTATGTTTGATTAAGATTAATTTATGAAGGTTTACCTTATTCTTTGATTGGAACCATACCTTTGTTTCTTCATTTTTCTTGATGCTTTGTATTGATTTCTGTGCATTAGCTATAACAGCCACCTCTCCCAGTCTGGACTGACTAGTCTTGTGGAGATGAACTTAATCAATTAGCCCAGACTGAGCTCCTGGTTGTCTCTCAAACCTTTGTGATGGGCCAACCCTCCATCTTTGTTATTTGTGGCTCTGAGTAGTTGAGGGTGTGCCCAAACCCATTAGTGTCCCAAAGGGAGGGTTGCAGTCAGAACCTAGATGCAGCCTGATTAGAACTAGCAGCTGGGAAACTAGGAGATGGGCATTTTTGCCTGCTCCCTCTGGGCTGAGCCTCAGTGTATAGGTGCTGGAGGTACACCTATTTAAAACAGCTCTTGTTAACATTATAAACTGTTGAACAAAAATAGATAGAGGCAAAGAAGCATCGAAGAGACTGTCAAAGTACAGCGGAAAGGCAGGAGAGGGCGGGAGGGGTGGAGGTAAGAGATCAACCAAAGGACTTGTATGCATGCATATAAGCACAACCAATAGACACAAGACACTGGGGTGGGGCAGGGAGGGTGAGGGCAAGTGCCAAGGGGTAGAGTAAACTGGAGGAAGTCAATGGGAGGGGAAATAAAGGAGACATATGTACTACTATTTGTAATACCTTAAACAATAAAATAAAAATAAATAAATAGAAAATAAAAGTCAAAAGCAATACAAAAATAATAATAATAAAAATAAAACAGCTCTTGTCCTATATAATAAAGAGGTAATATGCAAATTAAACCTCACAAGATGGCTGCTTACGACCAGGCTGATAGGGGGGTTAGTGAGGGGCGACCAAATGACTGAACAAGCATCTGCATGGGGCAACCAGGTCAGCAGGGAGGTTAGTGAGGGATGACCAAACAATTGAACAAGCAGCTGCGTGGGGTGACCAGGCCGGTAGGGGGATTAGTGAAGGATGACCAAATGACTGAACAGCAGGCTTCATGGGGCAACTAGGCTGGCGGGGGTCTGAGAGGGGGATCAGGCTGGCAGAGGGGAGCAGTTGGAGGCGACCAGGCCGGCATGCAGAGGCAGTGAGGGGCAATCAGGCCAGCAGGGAGGGCAGTTAGGGGTGACCAGGCAGGCAGGCAGATGAGTGATTAGGAGCCAGCAGTCCAGGATTGTGAGAAGGATGTCCGACTGCCGGTTTAGGTCCGATTCCTGAGATTGGGCCTAAACCGGCAGTCGGACATCCCCCAAGGGGTCCTGGATTGGAGAAGGTGCAGGCTGGGCTGAGGGGACCCCCCCACCCCGGTGCACAAATTTTGTACACTGGACCTCTAGTTTATTATAATCCTGTGGCACTCGTGAATGTAAGCCTTGATGGCTTTCAGAGCTTGGTGATTGGGAGGATATTCCCTAGGGTAGCAGCTGTAAAAGTTTGGGTGCTTCAGGGGTGGGCAAACTTTTTGACTCGAGGGCCACAATGGGTTCTTAAACTGGACTGGAGGGCCGGGAACAAAAGCATGGATGGAGTGTTTGTGTGAACTAATATAAATTCAAAGTAAACATCATTACATAAAAGGGTACGGTCTTTTTTTTTTTAGTTTTATTCATTTCAAACTGGCTGGATCCTGCCCGCGGGCCGTAGTATGCCCACGGCTGTAGATGTTTGTATAAGCTCCTTTTAGGGAGATACTGGTGATTTGGTATTTTTGTTGGAGCAAGCAATAGGGAGAAGGTGGAGAAACTGTTCAATGGCTTTTTTGGCTTCAAGAGATTCATAGTCAACAACTAGACATGTGTTAATATTAATTAAAAGCTGAACCCTCAAGCAGCAGCTTGTGAAATAAGCAGTCAAACCTCTTCCATTGAAAGACTCAGAGAAGGGCATTTTTGCCTACGCCTTTTTCTCTGAGCCTGGGGGTTGGGGGGGGGGGGAGGCGGATAGCTGTGGTAAGTGCTGCATGCCTATTAAGAACTGTTTGTTTGTTTCAGTCCTGGGACTTATGATTGTGAACCCCTTTGTCTATCTGAGCCACACA